GAGTGTTCTTGTTTATTAACTCTTCCATTTTAATTTAATGAATATCAGATTAAAATCAGATGATTAAATAATTAAATACATATTTATAATACATCATTTTATTTATTATTTTATTATTTTATCATTTTAATAAACGTCATTTCATTTTATTCATTAAATTAAATGTTATTTATTTTTTATTATTTTAAATAACAATATTTTATAATAAAATTAATAATAAAATAATAATATTTAATATTATTGTTATTTATCTATAATTAGTTCATTTGTTATTTTATTTCATCTATCTTTTTCGATGGAGAAGGCTGATGAGCTGGAGAAGAGTGCTAAGCTGCTAGAGAAGAACATAAGAGATAAAGAAAATCAAATCTCTGTATATCAAAAAAGTGCGATTCAAAACTATGAGATGAAGAAAAAACAAAAGAAGAATTAAACAATACACAAAGAGAAAATGAAGAACAAAAACAAATAATATCAAACCAACAAGAAAGTATCGAAAATTTTTTATCCCAGAAGGAAATTGAGAAGAAGAAAACAATGACTCGAGTGATAAATACACAACAAATACTGAGAACATCATCATCTGGGACAATACAAATGAACAAAACTACCCCTATGAAAAAGATAATTCTGAAAATAGAAGAAGAAGAGAGCGAAACACTGAATATCAAAAAACAAGAAATGATAATCAGTCAAGAAGAGAAGAAAACACAACAAATCAAACAAACAGAATTTTAATTGATGTGTTGTATTGTTTTGCAATTAATTTGTTAAATAAGAAATTAAATAAGAAATTAAGATGGGAACAAATAGAAAATATAATAAAAATAATAAATAATAATGTAAATAATGATAAAGAATACATTAATAATATTAAATTATCACATAAAATAAAATAAACAAGTAAAAGATATATTAAAATGAAAGTGAACTCCATCATAGAAGGGAAAGTAGAGTGTAATCCAATAATAAAAAATATTATCATAAAAAATAACTCTACTGATATTGATGATGAATATCTTAACTCTATCATCACTCAAGTTAAAGGAATGAAGATAGATAAATGTGTAAATATTAATTACTACTGGAAAAGGAAAGAAGCAGATAAATTAATAAGAGAAATTAATAATAAATGGATATGGTCAGGAGAATAGAAAATCTACAAGAAGATATGAAAATAATTTCAATGTGTATGTATTATTATCTCCAAAATAAATTTAAATGAGATAAATTTGATGAAATAAAAGAAATCCTAATGAAAATAAATAGATTAGAAGATCTAAACAATGGAATGGTACAGAATAAAATGCATCATGAGATTAAATGAACAAGATGCAGATGAAATTAAAATGAAAGTACAAGAAAGAATAAAGTAGATAAAATATATGATGACGATGATTAAAGGAAGAATTAAATTTAATAAAAATGAAATTGTCAGAATCAATACAAATAAAATCATGTTTGATTCTAATAAGAAAATTAAAATAAAGAAGAAACACAAAATGAAATA